CTGCCCCCATACCTCCTCCCTCACCCCCATCCCAGGCCCCAAGAAGAGTTTCCACATCAAGCAGATGTTCACCTGCACATCTGCTAATGTGGTATACTGCATCCGCTGTTCCCGTTGTGGCCTCCTCTACATCGGGGAAACCAAGCGGAGGCTCGGGGACCGCTTTGCAGAACACCTACGCTCGGTTCGCAATAAGCAACTGCACCTCCCAGTCATGAACCAGTTCAACTCCCCCTCCCATTCCTCAGACGACATGTCCATCCTGGGCCTCCTGCAGTGCCACAACGATGCCACCCGAAGGTTGCGGGAACGGCAACTCATATTCCTCTTGGGAACCCTGCAGCCCAATGGTATCAATGTGGATTTCACAAGCTTCAAAATCTCCCCTCCCCCTACCACATCCCAAAACCAGTCCAGCTCGTCCCCCCCTCCCTAACCTGTTCTTTCACCCCCCCCTTCCCCTCCCCCATTTCTGATGAAGGGTCTAGGCCCGAAACGTCAGCCTTTCTGCTCCTATGATGCTGCTTGGCCTGCTGTGGTCATCCAGCTCTACATCTTGTTATGTCAAACATTTCAGTTTGATTCATTTGCTTCAGTTGTTAAAGCATATCAACAAAGTCACTTGAGCAACAATGTAAAAACCTGTGTAAAAAGTATTAAATAGTCCATGATTTGCAAAATCTCCCTGTTTGTGTTAAATAACTTACACAGGGAGTCCGTTCAGTGGTTTCTGAGCTTGTGAGAAGTGCCCATGTCTTAAAGATTTGTGCCAACCTTCAAGGTCGGTGTTACTTCAGTCCACAAACTTGGATCTGTCTTGGAGTTGTTTCACTGCTCTTTTACTGCTGCTGGGTCAGAATCATGGAATTCCCTTCCTCACCACAGTATAGGAGTGCCTACACTGAGGTGGCTGAAGAAGGCAGCTCACCACCACCACCTCAAGGGCAATTCGCTGATGGACGATAACTACCAGCCAAGTTAGTGAAGCACACGTCCCATGAATGAATTTTTAAAAAACTCACTGTACTTCCAGTAAAAGGCAGGAAGGGGATAATATGTACTTAAGTAAGGCATGGTTAGCCCATAAAAAAAAACTTTTCACTGTATCTCATTACGTGTAACAATAATAAATCAAACCAATAGGTGCAGCTAACCTCAATCTGAACCCATGGTACTTGGATCTGAGAGTTGCTGGAAACATTGGGGAGCAGTATTATTAAACTGGACGCAACATTAAGGTCCTTTCCAGGGACTGTCAGGCACGCAGTCTAGTGGAGAAAGCACAACATTAAAATTGCAGCTCGGCCATTCAACAGTCAGAAAGACTTGTTCACACAAAAGGTGTTTCCCCCAACTGTTGAAGTGAAGTCGATTGAAAACCTCAGAAGTGAAGCTTTTGAGATTTTCGTTAGGCAGTAGTATTAAAGGTTATGGAATCAGAGCAGGTGCATGAAGACACAAAGTAGCCATGATTGATTTGAATGGTGGGGCAGGCTCCAGGGCTGAATGGCCTCCCTCGGCTATGTTCCTGTTCTCCTCACAGATTGTTCAGAATTTTGTGCTGTCCTTAGAGAAACTGAGGGGGGAATGATATAGACAGCAAGAGAAGAAGCATTGTTTGGTCTGTAACTGTATTGGAAGTGAAATATTTTGAGACAATTCTGAGATCTGCAACAGACACACTTGTAAAACAAGGAAATCAATCGCAAGGTTTGAAGGCATAGTCCATGTGGAACTAAACCATGTTTACATCAGCAAATTATTTCAATTGCATTAACTAGCAGCTGCACAAGTTACATAAGAACAGAAGTAGGTTGGATCACATGCAGCTTTCCTTCTCTCAGAGAGCAATTAACCTTATTAAACACATCTGCAGCTTGTACAGTAAATGCCAATTCAATAGTCACTGTGCAAAGCCAGATTCAGGGGTTGGGGATCATGTTGCTTTGAAGGCTCTTGTGGTGTAGTGGTAGTGTCCCTATCCCTGAGCCACAAGGTCTGGTTTCAAGTCCCATTTGCTTTGGAGCTGTGTAATAACAATTCTGAGCAGATTAGAAAGCCCAACTGTTGAAGATATGCAAAAGGTCAGGGTCTGAGTGACTTCCTAATTAGTGTGGACTTCCTAAAGGGCTTAGTGAGAAATTTTGCAGATTTTATGTCCTCAATGGTTCCCTGGTTTTATTTGTTTGTTTTGACTCTTCCAGAGGGTTGCATGGTTTTCTTGTAAGAGTGTCTGTATTATAATATATTACAGTTGTACAGGACAAGCTGAATGGGCCATTAAGCCTTGAGCTGCCCAGCATTGTCATGTTTATACATGAACCTTCCTTAAGTTTATTCACTGCTAGGGATAGTTAGTTTTCCAAGTTGTAAGAACAGCTCAAAAATATTAGGCAAAAATGATTGCCGTGATATTCTAGAAGTGGAAAAAACCATTGCAAGAACTATTATCTTCCTGTTCTAAATGAATTGCCCCAGTGATAAAGATGAAGGAATAATAACTTGATACTTATGGACTATGAATGAAATCAATAATTTACAGACACAACAACAACAATGAAAACAGAAATTGCTGGAAAAGCTCAGCTGGTCTAGCAGCATCTGTGAAGAGAAATCAAAGTTAACGTTTCTTTTACGGTGACCCTTCCTCAGAACTGAGTCACCGGACCCGAAACATTAACTCTGATTTCTCTTCACAGATGCTGCTAGATGTGCTGAGCTTTTCCGGCAACTTTTGTTTTTGTTTCTGATTTATAGCGTCCACAGTTCTTTCAGTTTCAATAATTTACATGTTCTACATCTTCCACTCAATGGTTAATTACGGCTAATGTCAATTCCAGGGGAGGTGATAACCTAGTGACATTATCACTTGACTATTAACACAGCAACTGACTGGAGTCCTCAGAACACCATGGCGGGTGGTGGAATTTGGATTCATTTTGGAATTAAAAGGGTAGTGGTGACCATGAAACCATTGTTGATTTTTGGGGGTCAGGGGAAGCCCCTCTGATTCACAAATGTGCTTAGGGAAGGAAACTGGCCTACATGTGATTCCAGCCCCATAGCAATGTGGTTGACCATTAACTGCTCTTTGGGCAAATTATCGATGGGCAGTAAATGCAGGCCTGACCAGCAATGACCACATCCTTTAAACGAATAAAAAAAACTGCTATTAAGCAGACAACAGAGTACCTGATGGCATTTCTTTCATAAGTCAGGTGTTTTTTTTTTAGTGATGTGGATAGTATACGTTGTAATGTGTTATTCTGCTGCTTAGGCAATGCTGTTTTATACTTGGCCTTTCCCTTTAAGTTTATAAATCCATCTATCCAGACGAGTAGAGACTTTTCCAGTACATTGTTGTCGTGTCTTGTAGAGAGTGGGCAAGCTTGGTAGAGTCAGGAATTGAGTTATCGCAGAATTTCTAGCCTCTGACCTGCATTTTTTACGCCTGTAATTATCAGTAAGGTTGGCCCAGTTAAGTTTCTGGTCAGTGGTAATGCCTAAGATGTCGAAAGTGAGAGATTCAACTATGGCAGGATTCGAACCCGGGTCCCAAAATGTTATCTGGGTCCAGCGATAATACCACTAGGCCATCGCCTCCCCAATCTGAAATTGAATTTTACTGAATTACTTTTGCTGTCTGTACAGAATAATTGATAATGGTTTAGTTGGCTAACTGCTATCTTATGTTTCCCAAAGGCTGCCTTTTTCGAGCTGGTGAAGGCTATTTATACGCTCGGACACAGTGCCTCCTTAGTTGCTCTCATGACTGGATCAGCAATGCTTTGTTTCTTTAGGTGAGAAACAATGATATAAATAAAAGCAGAAGTATCCTAGAAGCTAGAAACCTTAATTTTTAAAAAAAACAGCAAATGCTGGAGAAACTCAGCAAGTTTGGCAGCATCTGTGGAGAGTGGAAAATGGTCTTTTTGACTCTTCCTCAGAAGAAAGGGAAAAGGACTCAAAACATTGACTTTGTTTCTCTCTCCACAGATGCTGCCAGACTTGTTGAGTTTCTCCAGCATTTTCTATTTATATTTAACATCTAAGTTCGCTGTGATTGTCTTTCATGGTTCTTGTGTGGAGATGGATGGATGTTGCTATATGTGGCTGATGGAGTCTTGCTTGATAAATCAAATGGCCTTTTCTGCTTTCTGATGTTTACACTGAGCCAATATTGACTGCTTCACATAAAATCTTCTACTACGTCACAGCATTTTTCAGTTGTAGCGTGTGAGAAGCTGCATCCATTCTTTGAATAATTTTAAGTAATTCCGAGAGCTTAGAACATTGTAAGTACAGGTCAGATTAATTGGCTATTTATTGTCAACGGGTAAGAGATACTGTCTGTATGTCCATTGGCATCACAATACCAAAAGCCTCAAAGTCCTGACTTCAGATAAAGGTCACTTTTTTTACTTTATTAGAATCTTGTAAGGGCATGACAAGCTATAGACTCCGCACAGGAAAAACCATTATTCCCATGTCTAGCAGCTCAAAAGATGAATGTTTAGATTTGTGCCATATGCACTGTTGCATGTGGAATACATAGCTGTAATGTAACCATTTGCTGCATCTGGTAGAGAAAATCAGCAAAATAAACTATTGTGAAGATTAGAGCAAACTTATCCTAACAAGGTATATTATACAAGGTAGAGTTTGAAATCCTCATAACATGTTAAAAGTAAATGGACATAAACCTGAAGAGCTGTAGGTTACTAGGCTAATCTACTCAAAATTGGAAAGTGGGATTAGGCTGGATGGCTACTTGTTGGTTATCACAGATACAATAGGTCAAATGGCCTCTCTGCATGGTATAATTGTCTAAGATTCATTGATACTGTAGGCTGTGGTGGAAGTGTAGTCAGGGATTGTATGAGGCAAACAATTGCTTTTAAATATTCTTGGAGCCCCACCCCATTGAAGGGGTTCAGGTGAGGTGGAGATGGAGGGCTCAGCTGCCTCTAAAGTGTCCTGAGTGGAGGCTTCTGAGGGCGCTGCATGTGCTTTCTCTTCCAGTTCGGTTCCTCCTAGCACTGCCCTGTCTCCTTGTGAGGAAATGGTACCTGGAGAGTTTGCCAGGTTCCCTATTCCCCTAGTCTCCATGGTTGGGGTGCTGTTATGCATCTTCCCAGCAGCCCTTGAGGATGCTGGACCTGGCTATCTGTGACAGCCACCAACCTGAGGCAGACAGACAGTCACATGAGTTGCTTCGCTGCTGCAGCTTCTGGGCAATGGGAGCCATTGTGTCCCACATCCCTGTCTGCAGCTCCTATCCCTCCCTGTGCAAGTGGACAAAGACTCTAATTTCTGACACCACAGTGACCTCTCCAGTCTGGGGGTGAGCAGGGGCCTAGACTCTGGCTGTCCTCCGAGTGCCAGTGTCCTGGGGCGTTTCTTTTTTTTTAACCTTGGCCAGCTGCAGACCTGTCACAGTGAGTTGCCCACCAGTGAGTGCTCCCATACTCTCTAAGCCTAATGGTTCCGCCATGATCTGAGCTGGGGGAGGGTGCAGGAAGCAGCCTTGTCGATAGGCCCCCTGAAGCCTCAATACTCCTGTCCTTGTGGAGGTGGCCTCTGGCCGTTTCTCTGCAGTGGTGGTGGAGAAACGAGAGAGAGGGGCATTGCAGCTAATGGTTAGAAGTGGTGTGTAATGAAAATGGCTGGCAGCGCCATTACTGGGAGAGGTACCTTGGAGTGAAGAGTGGTACCTACTCAGTTGGTGGGACATGGATGTTTCAGTATTTCCACAGGAGCAATCCCCATCTTCTCCTATGCAGGTGAGGATTCTATACCTTGAAGGGGGTGAGAAACTGAATGTCGGACACACATCCACCTGGGTGCAGTGGAAAGAAAGTGGAGAGGCTCCTGGCACCAGATTCCTAGGGTTTAGCTCGCCAAGACACTCAGTGATACGTGAGGCCACGACCTCCCACTGAACTCCGACCCAACAGAGAATTGTCGCCCTTAGGCTTACATCAAGAAACAGCGAAATAGCAAGCACTGATTATTTTTCACTAGCAACCTGGATGGTTTCCTTCCCAATTTTAAAGAGAATCTGCTGGGATTCAGGGGCTAGACTGACAATTGGCAAAGATGCTTTTTCTATACTTAGTTTGCTGAGGGGAGGCAATGGCCTAGTGGTATTATTGCTAGATTGTTAATCCAGAGACCCACGTAATGTTCTGGGGACCTGGGTTTGAATCCTACCAAGGCAGATGGTGGCACTTGAATTCAATAAATACTTGGAATTAAGAATCTAATGATGACCACTGTCAATTGTTGGAAAAACCCATCTGGTTCACTGGTGTCCTTTAGGGAAAACAATTGCCTTCCTTACCTGGTCTGGCCTACATATGAGAGCAATATGGCTGACTCTTAACCCCACTTCTGGGCAATTAGGGATGGGCAATAAATGCTGGTCTGGCCAGTGATGCCCACATCCTGATTTTTTTTTTATTCATTAATGGGATGAGGGTGCCGCTGACCAGGCAGCATTTATTGTCCAACCCTAATTGCGCAGAGGGTGGTTCAGAGTCACCCACATTGTTGTGAGTCTGGGGTCACATATAGGACAGACCAGGTAAGGATGGTAGTTTCCTTTCCTAAAGGACATTAGTGAACCAGGTGGGTTAATAAATTTTTTTAAAAATCCTGCAGAATTCATTGAGAGAAGCTGGGCCTTTCGTTATTTGATTTCAGTGAGTGATATCACAGACACCAATATCACCATCCCAAGGTATCCCACCAGTGGGACAGACCAACCAGAAGTGGCAGCCCAGTGGTATATAGTCAGGTAGGGGTTACTGTGTCAGACCCCATAAAGTCTCATTAGTTCCTCACCAAGTAAACCCACCCCTTATTACAACCTATCATTCAGCTTTAGCTGATCAGTATAGTGCTCTTCCATGTTGAACATCACTTGGAATCATAGAATCTCTACAGTGCACACATAGGCCAGTCAGCCCATCGAGTCTGCACTAACCCTCAGAAGAGCATCCTGCCCAGATCCACACCCACACCATATCTCCGCAACCCCACATTTAGCACAGCCAATCCACCGAATCTGCATATCTTTGGACTGTGGGAGGAGACTGGAGCACCTGAGGGAAACCCATGCAGAGACGGGGAGAATGTGCAAATTCAACACAGACAGTCACCCAAGGCTAGGATTGAACCAGTGTCCCTGGTGCTGTGAGGCAGCAGTGCTAACCACTGTGCCACTGTGATGCCCAAGAGAGCACGGAGGGTGGAAAGGGCACATAATATACTCTGGATGGGGGACTCCAAAGTCCATAATCAAAAGTGGTTTGGCAGCAGCCCCTCCAGTGATCGAGCTGGTCGGGTCCTAAAGGACATAGCTGCTAGACTGGGCATGTGGTAAATGGTGAGGGAACCAACAACAGGGAAAAACATACTTAACCTCATCCTTACCCATCTGCCTTTTGGAGTTGCAATCTACAGCAGTATTGGTAAAAGTCCCCTGATTCCCATTGATTCCATGGTTATTAGGGCTCCTTGATGCCACATTCAGTTGAATGTAGCCTTGATGTCAAGGGCTGTCCCTCTCACCTCACCTCTGGAATTCAGTTCTTTTGGCCATGTTTGAACCAAGGCTGTTGTAAGGTCAGGAGCTGAGTGACCCTGGCAGAACCCAAACTGGGCGTCACTGAGTTGGTCTTTTCTGATCAGGTGCTGTTTGGTAGCACTGTTGATGATACCTTCCATCACTTTACTGACGATAGAGTGTAGACTAATGGAGTGGCAATTGGTGGGGTTGGATTTGTCCTTTTTATGTACAGGACAATTTTCCACATCGTCAGGTATATGCCAGTGTTGTAACTGTACTAGAATGGCTTGGCTAGGGAAGCGACAAGTTCTGGAGCACAAGTCTTCAGTACTATTGCCGGAATGTTGTCAGGGCCCATAGCCTTTGCAGTATCCAGTGTCTCCAACTGTTTCTTGATATCACATGGAATGAATTGAATTGGCTGAAGAGTGTTTTCTGTGATGCTGGGGATCACTGAAGGAGGCCAAGATGGATCATCCATTCGGCATTTCTGGCTGAAGATTGCTGCAAATGCTTCAGACTTATCTTTTGCACTGATGTGCTGGGCTCTCCCATCATTGAGGATGGGGATATTTGTGGAGCCTCCTCCTCCAGTGAGTTGTTTAATTGTCCACCACCATTCACGAATGGATGTGGCAGGACTGCAGAGTTTAGATATGATCTATTGGTTGTGCAATTGCTTAGCTCTGTCTATCACTTGCTGCTTTCGCTGTTTGGCATGCAAGTAGTCCTGTTTAGTGGCTTCACCAGGTTGGCACCTCATTTAGACTAGTACTGCTCCTGGCATATCCTCCTGCATTTTCCATTGAACCAGTGTTAATCTGTTGGCTTGATGATAGTGATGGAGTGAAGTGGGGAATATGTCAGGTCATGTGGTTGCAAATTGTGATAGAATAGAATTCTGATGCTATTGATAGCCCACAGCGCCTCATGGATGCCCAGTCTTGAGTTGCTAGATCTGTTTGCAGCCTGTCCCATTTAGCATGGTGATCGTGCCACACAGCACAATGGAGGTTATTCTCAATGTGAAGGCGGGATTTTAGCTGCACAAGGACCATGCGGTGATCACTCTTACCGATACTGTCATGGACAGACGCAACTGCAGCTGGCAGATTAGTAAGGATGAGGTCAAGTATGTTTTTCCCTCTTTATTGGTTTCCTCACCACCTGCCGCAGACCCAGTCCAGCAGCTATGTCCTTTAGGGCCCGACCAGCTCGATCAGTAGTACTGCTGCCGAGCCACTCTTGGTGGTGGACATTGAAATCCCCCACCCAGAGTACATTTTGTGCCCTTGCCATCCTCAGTGCTTCCTCGAGGTGTTGTTCAACATGGGGGAGTACTGATTCATCAGCTGAGGGAGGACGGTATGTGGTAATCAGCAGGAGGTTTCCTTGCCCATGTTTAACCTGAAGAAAGAGAACTCATTTGGTTCCAGAGTCAATGTTGAGGACTCCTAGAGCAACACCCTCTCGACTGTATACCACTGTGCCACCACCTCTGCTGGGTCTGTCCTGCATGTGGGACAGGACATAACCAGGGATGGTGATGGTGGTGTCTGGGATTTTGTCTGTAAGGTATGATCCTGTGAGTATGACTGTGTCAGGCTGTTGCTTAACTAGTCTGTGAGCCAGCTCTCCCAATTTTCGCACTAGCCCCCAGATGTTAGTGAGGAGGACTTTGCAGGGTTGACACAGCTTTTTCAGCCAATGTCTTTTCTGGTAGCTGGGTCAATGCCAGGTGGTCCGTCCATTTTCATTTCTTTTTTGAGACTTTGTAGTAACTGTTACATTTGAGTGGCTTACTAAGCCATTTCAGAGGGCACATTGCTATGGGTCTGGAGTCACATGTAGGCCAGACCAGGTGAGGATGGCAGATTTTCTTTCCAGAAGGACATTAGAGAACCAGATGGGTTTTTCCAACAATCCGACAATAGCTTCATGGTCATCATTAGACTCTTTACTTCAGACGTTTATTAAATTCAGATTCAACCATCTGCTATGTCAGGATTTGAACTTGGGTCTTCAAAGCTTAACCTGAGTTAATTGTCTGGGGATACACCACTTGGCATTTATGTCAAAGGGAATGGTATACAACAATAGGGAGGTCTTGCTAAAACAAGGCATTGGTTAGACCATAGATGGAATACTCAGAGGGATTCTAATTGATGGTGTTAGAGGTCATGTGTTAGCAGGGATTGGGGATTGGCTCACTAATAGAAGACAGAGTCACAGGAAGCTAGCATCCTAGCTCAGCGGGTAATAAAAAGGGCAAATGCAATTTATTTCAAAGGGAATGGAGTATAAAAGTAGGCAAGTTATGCTAAAACTATACAGGAACTAGTCAGACCACAGCTGGAATACAGTGAACAGTTTTGGGCCCCAGAGGGGGTTCACTATGCTGATACTGTGTATGAAGGTACTGTCTTATGGGGAGAAATTGAATAGGTTGGGCTGTACTCTTTGGAACTTATAGGAATGAAAAGTGAAAGATTCTTAGGCAATGTGACAGGGTAGATGTAGAAAGGTGAGAGAGTCTAGGAGCAGAGGGTGTGATCTCAGAATAAGGGATCGCCCTTTAAAACAGAGATGAGGATGATTTTTCTTCAATCTGAGTGTAGTGAATCTATGGAATACTCTACTGCAGAGGGCTGTTGAGGCTGGTTCATTAAGTTTATTGAAGGCTGAGATAGACAGATTTTTAATTGGTAAGGGAATCAAAGGAGTATGGGTAAATGGTAGTAAAATGGAGATGAGGATTATCATAACAGCCAT